GAGATTTGATAGCACCACTGTTTAAGCATCGTAAGCCTTCTAGATTATATATTATTATATAGTGTTATAGATTTATATATAGTTTTGTAGAGTTATTGATTATATATAGTAATATAGTGTTATAATATTTATTTAAATTAAAAATATTTTTATACATCTAATAATTGTTATTTCTGAGTTTATTAATTAATTTTCCACAAAAAATTGCAACCAACCATCAATAGATAAAAGACATAAATAGCTCCTTGAAGAGCAGCTCAATAACTCGAGTTGAATCCCTCTCTTCAGTTATGTCCTCTGGAATTCGAAGATCACTGGACCCCTGCGAACAATTCAACTCATCATCTTCATTACCTCCAACGATGAGCACTTCATGTCTACCTTCACTTACCAAGCAGCAGTATGTACAGTTAGGTGAAGATGGAGTTAGTGCCAATAACTCCAATCAGGACAACAGCAACAACAACTGTGTCAGCAACGATGTGCAAGTCAATGTGCATGCCGCTACCATTCTTGCTGGTGATATTAGGAAGGCCATTATGACCGTGAAATTTCATTGTTCCTGTTGATTATTATTATTTTTGTTGTTGTTTCTATAATTATTAATATTATAGTTTGGTGTCTTATGATGTTGTCTTCGCTGTGTCCCTGAACTTGTGTTTACATTTAATATTTGTTACCGCTGCTCTTTTTATCGTTGTCATCTGTAACATTCATCATCGTCGTCGTCATCACTATTATTATTATTGTTATCATTATTTATATCATCATCATTATTATTATCATCATTATTATTATTATTGTTGTTGTTGTTGTTATAACCATTGCATTGCTGTCATCATTATAACCACAACACATCATTGCAGCTCACTGACATATTCACTGATGAGATGAAGCCAATGTTATTAAAAGTAACTGGAATTAATATGTGCTTAACAGAAGGTGTGTGTGCATTACTTTCCGACCGCCTCACACACACACACACACACACACACACACACACACACACACACACATTTCAAGAAACTTTTATATTCTGATCTTCCTGTAACATCCAATACTGCCTATATGACATTAGTTTACGGATTTATATAGGTTTTATTTCATTTCTCTTTTTACATGTAATGAACTTGTTACAATTCTGAACGATAGGATTTTAGAATGAATCTTTTTTCAAATTGTTACGTCATTTTACCATTAAATCCTCCATTTTAATTATCAAAGAGGCATGGTGTTACGGCCTGAGATCCCTTTCACAGCACATCCCTATTTCCATTCAATTCATATCCAATGAGATCTCACTTTCTTGCATGAGCGAGTTGAAATCCGTTAATGACATCCCCAGGCTATACAAGAGAACCAACAGAAATGTAATAATTACTTTTATTATTATCAACCTCATTATTATTTACAGTTGTTTTTTTAATGACATCGTTGTTATTAATGTCACCATCTGAAAACAATTTTATGTCGATGTTTATTCCGTTTCATGCATTTATTGCATTTCAGTTTACGCAAGGTATTCGCAACAATTTCTAAATTAAAAAAAAAAATATCAACAGCTTGTTGTCCTGGGACAATTACTTGCGGAAAATTCGCTTAGCTAGAGTAGCAAATCTAGACTTAACATATTATACTTCAGACAGGATTTATCCTTGCTAACTAACCCAACTTTTTTACTTTGAAATTATTTTCAAAGCCGACAATTTGATTAGAAATCATTGCACCCACCAGATCTCTGTTGACTGCAAAACTTTTGATTACTCTTTTTTATTAAAAAATAACAATTTGTTGTTTGTGAAAATCATTTACAAAATTTGCTTTCCCTAAAACTCTTTTTGCCCTCTCAAAGGAGGTCGGCCTCACGAGTTGAAGAATTTTGCAATAATTGTAGTTATAGGCTTCTTTTAGAATGTTGAAATTATTAAGACTTTTCAGTTTAAGTTGGATATTACTGATCAATTTATCTCTACAAGCATTTTCATCGAAAGGTGCCATCGAAAGCATCGGCGTACGTTGGTAACATCATGGTGCCTCTCTTGCAATTTATGAAAGATCATGACGGATTGGTGCACGAAGAGGACAAACAATCCATCTTTAATGACGTCATTTCTAACGTTACTGAGGCGTTAGTGCTTGTTAATTAGCTAGCATTTAATGATTTCTTTACCTTTTTAACGGTGCATTTGAATGTTTTACTTTGTTCATTTGCTGTTCTGGCTGTTGTCGTGACTGTTGCGATAAATATTATAATTACTTGCATTAACAATATTTTTGACATTATCGTTGTACCTTTCATTCTTACTGTTGTTTTTTGACGGACAATATTTGCTTTTTTTAAATGTAAAAAAATGCAAGGAATATGTAATGCTACAAATTCTCTATCAAAGTGTAGTATATTGCTTTATACATTCCTAATCTGGACAAACTAGGCGTATGGTTTAATTTCAAATGCATGAGTGAATGAATGAATTCCAATTATTTTTTTCAAATATATCCACTTGCCAGCTATATAAAGGTGACAACAGAAGTTCTGGCGTCAATGAAGAAGATGGAAGAAAGTTTGAAAAGATTGAAAGCAGCCAGGGGCACCAGCGTTGAAACAAGCAATCCAGGAATGACAGATGATGATAAAATCAGACTACAACTTTCATTAGATGTTCAATTCTATTCCCAACAGGTTATAGCTGGGAATAGAATTTTTATTTATTTTTATTATTACTACTACTCTTTGTTCTAGTAATGGTAGTAGCAGTAGTAATGGTAGTAGTAGTAGTAATGGTAGTAGTAGTAGTAGTATAATTAGTATTGGTAGTAAAAGTACATTATTTATAAATATCAATCAGCTAATCCTCATTACTTTTGCTTTATTGGAAGTATTTTGATTGCTGCTGATGATTAGGGTGGGGTTGATGATGATGATGATGATGATGATGAAGAAGAAGAAAACAACAACCTACAAAAATGTACCAACAGGTTAGAGTGCTCAAGCCATCAGACGAAAAGAAGGCATTGGATAAATTAATACAAATCGTTTCGAAGTAAACCAGCTAGCTCATTGTAGTGTTGATATCTCATTTTAATTTATTTTTTTAATTTATTTTGTTGGAAGGGATAAAAGTTGATTAATACTGGGTTAGCTGTTTAATTGACTGGTCGATAATTGAAACTTCGTGCCTGATGCATATTGATTTGCTTTATAAAAATTAGATAAATTAAATTTTATGTCACACGAGAATTAATTTGTTTATAGGCGCGTTTCAAATATAAGCTAAATTTGAAGTCGACTTTAAAATACGTTCTTCGGTGTTCATCGTCTAGCGCTCAAAGTACTAGAAGAGAAACGTGTTTGGTGGGATACAAACCAGCTCCTTCCTCGTTGAAACTGATTTGCAAAACTCATTAAATCCATTTTGCATCACGTTTTGCTCATGTTTTTTTCATGAAGTTCATAAATACATGATTTTTACGGCTCAGTTTCTGGTTGTATTCATCCAATTGTTTCTAACAATGTCGGAAAAGATGTAGTTAGTGTACCCTTACATCGTATAGGTATAATTTGAAAAAATACGTTTTTTTGTGCAGAGGTTACAGTTTGAGTTGGACATTAGTTTCATTCCATTATTTTTGCTAAGAGAAAGTACTAGAAGAGAAACGTGTTTGGTGGGATACAAACCAGCTCCTTCCTCGTTGAAACTGATTTGCAAAACTCATTAAATCCATTTTGCATCACGTTTTGCTCATGTTTTTTTCATGAAGTTCATAAATACATGATTTTTACGGCTCAGTTTCTGGTTGTATTCATCCAATTGTTTCTAACAATGTCGGAAAAGATGTAGTTAGTGTACCCTTACATCGTATAGGTATAATTTGAAAAAATACGTTTTTTTGTGCAGAGGTTACAGTTTGAGTTGGACATTAGTTTCATTCCATTATTTTTGCTAAGAGAAAGTCAGGTGATTCTAACCAGTCCCGCCTCATTTGGGTTAGGGTATAAGTACGTGAATTTATAAAACATTTTATTCCATGAAGATTTTGAATGACTTGTAATGAATCTTTCAGCATATTTTTTAAACTGCGTTGAATGGAAAATACATTCATTTCTTTTTATTGTGTGAAGGAAGAGCATTTCTTGCTCTCTGTTAGCCCAGGCAAGCAAGCAGCTGCAACGCACGCATGCAGGCAGACAGCATTATTGCAATGCACGCTCGCCTCCTCGTGTACACCGGCACGTCTGCATCCATGAATATTTTCTGTACGTCTGTTTATATATTATAACGCATGCATGCATGAACACAAACGAATTTAGAAATGAAAGGTAATGTGTCGGCTTATGTGTACAAATCTGCCAGCTAACAAAACTTTGTAGAAATGATTTACATTCGTTCCATGGTTTTTTTAATTCCTATTGCACCGAATTTAAATTAACAAATAGTATTCCTTCAGATAATTTTTCATCTTACTACGGAAACAAAAATATCTGTTGTTTTTGAATAAAGAAATGAATGCTTCATATATTTAATGGTTCTGACATTGCTTTCGTTGATGTTTATGTTGATGTTTTTTTGTTGCCACTGTTGTTGTCATTGTTGTTTGTGGTTGTCAGGTTCAGCACCAACGATTGTACACGCATTTCAATGAGCGTTCGCGGTTGGTGCGTAAGAATGTTTGAGAAGTTTTTTAAAAAATATATCGTAAGGCGTGCCTGCATATTGATAGTTTATAACGTGAATATTTTACAAGCAAGGAATGATCTGAAGTAAGTAAATAGGTACATCTCGAAGAGCCTATAGGTACGTTAAAAGATGACCTTTGTAATTTAATGTAATTTTGACGGAATTGTATTGAAATATCTAAATGAAATCGTGCGGTGATACACGAATTCCAACGAAAAATTCAATTCTCAGACATCGGACATTATAATAACTGTTCACAACAAAGCAATAAAATTGTTGCGGCTAAATTGTTATGGGCTTGTGTGATCACATGAAAAGATGCATAGCAAAAGATGGCAACGACATTCGACAAACCGAAGATAACGTTCAAGAAGTCGCTACTATTCACCTTAAAAATTCCGCTTCACCTAAGTCATTGTTTAATTATCCTGACGCATCGGAGGACAAAAAAATGCAAAGCAATCAGTCGCAGCCCTCGACCAACATGGACGGTTCCTTGCACGACATTCAACAAACACAACACCAGAAGAAATATTTGAAGGTGAGAATAATTGAGAAAGATAACGATTTCGTAGCTGAAACATTTTCAACTGCGCAACCAGCAACAACAACTGACCAAAATCAGAAAAGAATTCAATGGTCGTCACCCGTGGAATTCCTCCTCACTTGCATCGGATACAGTGTCGGTCTTGGTAATGTATGGAGGTTCCCCTACCTTTGTTACACTAACGGTGGAGGTTAGAAACTTTTATAACATTTTGCTATTAATTTACGTTTACAATTTTCGGCTTATACATTTCATTGATTACTGTCGCTATTAGTATCATTAATATTATTAAATATTTTACATTTGGGATTTTGTAAGTGTAGGAGCCTTCCTCATTCCGTATTCATTGATGATTCTAACAATTGGTATGCCTCTTCTTTTTATGGAATATAGTTTCGGACAATACTTTGGTATAGGGAGTCTGTCCATATTCAAGCAAGTATGTCCGCTATTTCAAGGTTTGTTTTTTTATCGATTGTTTGAAACTATATTAATATAAAAACTGGTCGAATTTTTTGAAAATATGATGCCATTTCTGCAGTGCCCCGCGTATCACGTAGGAAAGGCTAAAAAGTTAATTATTTAATTAATTTAAAAATACTTTTTGCAATCAAACCAAACAGGGATTGGCATCGGTTACAGCATATTAAATGGATTAGTTGGCATCTATTACAACGTAATCATTGCAATGTCAATTTATTACATGTTCAGCTCATTCTCATCTACACTACCATGGTCGCACTGCAACAACACGTGGAACACTGAGTTCTGTGACGACAAAAAAAGTTATTCTCCTTTTATATGTACTTATTTGAATAAATGATGAATTAGCCTTTTTAAATCTCTTTGTGCTATTAATTGTAAAACGTAGTAGCAATTGATACTAATACAGTTTAGTTTAGGCTGATCAGCAATAAAGATCAAAAGATCAATTTAAATAAAAAAGAATTAAATTATGTAAAACACAAAATGAAGTGATGAAAGTTGAATAAATATAATTGAAATAGATGATAAAAAAATTAACAAAAGTACTGATCTACAAATATGCAATATTGTTACAGACAGTTCCTGGTTTAATTCAAACGTTACTAGATTCAACTGCACAACAAAGAATGTGATGTCACCAACAACTTCATTCATTGCAAATACGACGACAATGTTCACAACAAATTTTAATTTGAGCAGCATTGATGATGGTAACTGTAGCAATGTAACGAGGTCCTCTCCTAGTGATGAGTTTTTTAGGTTAAAGATTTTCATTCATTCTTGTTACACGTGTTTTTTTCCAGAGGTGTATTGACAACAAACACACAGTGCATGAAAATACACGTGAAACATGAAGCAACGCATCCCACGAATTGCATGTAACAGATGAGGATAACTTTGCATCGAATCCAGCCAGTCAATGCGATGAACCTCCTCGCACCGACCGCCAATCTATACATACATATATATATATATATATATATATATTTATATATATATATTTATATGTGTATATATTTATATATAAATATATATATTTATATATAAATATATATATTTATATATAAATATATATATATATATATATATATATGTGTGTGTGTGTGTGTGTGTGTGTGTGTGTGTGTGTGTGTGTGTGTGTGTGTGTGTGTTTTCCTTTTATACCTAATAAGTATAGTTATTTTCTTCTTATCATTATTATTCCTTGGTTATCCTTTAATGTTTTTTTTAAGTTAATTCTGGTTAAGTTGACATTGAATAAAACTTCAACAAAAATAATAAGTCAAATCATTTTACTTAACACCTACGTTTAATACAATGCTTCATTTGATTACTTTTTATTATGCTTTAAAAGTGCTATATAATTTAAATTGAGTGTTGATTAATTAACATTCAGGCTGTCGTTGATGGGTGAGACATCAGAAAATGATATATCTAATCTGGGTCATGTACGGTGGGCTCTCTGCTTATGCCTGCTCCTCTCCTGGGTTCTCGTGGCTCTGTTCGTCAGTCAGGGGATTAAAAGCAGTGGAAAGGTTCATCCACAATTCTACGCCACTAAAAATTAATCTTTATTTTATATTTGACCAACATTTCATGTATCTAATCTAAGATTGATCAATCAATTAGTTTGCAAAGCGCTATTTTCGCGAGGTTCAACAGCGTTCCTTGATGAATTTTGCAAACAGATGGGTTTTGATATCTGCTCTGAACTTCGCAAGTAATGGACAAGTAGTTAGAAAGGGAGGTAGAGAGTTCCAAAGAAAATGGTTAAAAATGCAAATGCGGATTTAGCAAAAGAGTGTTTAACTCAAGTTAGGAAGAAGTGAGAACAAGAATACTTTCGTAAACCGGGGCGTTTATGTTCATGTTCAATTAATATATCTGATAAGTACTTACGAAAGAATTTAAATTGAGATTTATACACTAAGTGCAATTTTTTAAACTATTCTTTATCTTATAAGCAGCCAATGCAAGAGAACAAGATATGGAGATTTATGAGAAAAGAAAGGGGACGAGCAGCAGGGTTAAAAACTCAACTTAAAGGATAGAGTGTTATATAAAGTTATATAAGGTCACTCTGATTATACACAACGTATCCTACATAGGCCTTACATACCCGCATATCATCACTGTTTTCATTATCTTCCTTTATTAATTTTTAAAAACCAGGTTTCTTATTTCACGGCCACCTTTCCTTACATAATGTTAACGGTGCTGGTTGTTCTTGGAGCAACATTGGAGGGGGCGGGCCAGGGCTTGTGGTTTTTCATTTGGCCCAAGTGGTACAAGTTGGCTGATCCAGAGGTGTGGTTTGTTAACATTATCACATATATCATTTCATCTATTTTACCACCCTTTACTATTGTTACTGTTAAAACAATTTTTTAAACAAACACTCAATAAATTTCAGTGGTTCATTAGGTTAATTTCTACAAACGGAAAATCAATAACATACATACATTCGTTTGTTCATTTGCTCATTCATCCATGCTTTCCTTCCTTCCAAGGTGTGGTTTCGGGCGGCTACTCAGTTATTTTACTCGTTAAATCTGGCCTGGGGAGGTATGATAACGATGTCTAGTTACAACGTGCGGGAACACAATTGCTACAGGTACTCGCTGCAGATTGCTTCCAACTGTTGCTACTTTTAACTATTTTAAAGTGTACAACAAAAACAACCACCAGAACAGCAACTACTGTTACTTGTTTTGATTAATATTTTTAAATTAATGCTACTACCTACTTTTTAGAGATGCCATAGTAATAAACATTGTCAGTTTTGCTACGAGTATGTATGCAGGATTAGCTGTGTTCTCAGTCATTGGACATATGGCACACGAAAGCCATCAATCAATCGAAAACGTCGTCAAATCAGGTGATTCTTTCATTGAATCAATCATTCACTTATTCATTCATACATTCATTTATTTATCCATGTACTATTACGATTTAGGTCCAGGTCTGGCCTTCATAGCTTACCCACACGCATTAAGTTTGATGCCCATTCCACAACTATGGTCTGTTCTCTTTTTCTTCATGCTCTTCCTTCTTGGCATCGGCAGTCAGGTAGGATTGCTGAATGAAACAGTCATCTAATAAATTTAAATGTCTAATCTTTGTATTTTCCTTAACACTACAACGTGATAGATGGTCTGTGTTGAGACAATAATGACAGGCATAATGGATACGTGGAGATTTCTCGTGGTGAAATGGCAGTACAGAATTGCTGTTATCACAATTGTCTGTTTGATTGGCTTCTTACTTGGCATACCATGCACCGCTCAAGTGATAACATTTTGTTCGGTTCTTCGTCTTGTTCATATTGTATTGCTGTTTCTATTCCGTTGTTCTAAGTGCTGTTATGAATATTCTTGATACAAATGTGTTGTACGTAGGGCGGAATGTATGTACTGCAACTTATGGATCAATACAGTGCAGGCTTTTGCGTACTGGTCATTGCCATTGTCGAATGTCTGGTCATTAACTGGATCTACGGTTAGATTTCAAAAATTATTGCATCAGGTTAAATAATTGGTCAAACAATTAATTTAAAAATTTCTAAATACGTATCACTTAAAAAATTAGATAATAAGACAAATTACTTTCTTCATTGAAATAACTCACGTAGGTGACAAAAAAATGTCCTCTCATGTGAAGAATATGCTTGGAACCAAATTGAACCCATTTATGAGAATTTGCTGGAAGTTTATCTCACCTTTTCTTATACTGGTTGAGTAAATTGCATTTGTATCCCAATCTCATTATCGTTATTAAAGTCATATAGTAAGCGTAAAATAAATAAGAAAGCTACATTTTTTATGTTCAGGTGATATTGATATTTAGTTTGACCAAGTACAAAGGAGTAACATACGCCGAGAAGACCTATCCATTATGGGCTGAACTGGCTGGCTGGCTGATGACTCTTGCTTCAAATCTGCCAATCATCGTCGTTGCTATCTTTATATTCATCAATGCCAAGGGGTCGACACTGAGAGAAGTATGTATCCTCCCGCGGTATCTAATCATGCTGCAAGCACATTTGCCGAATTTCAAAATAGCTAAATAATAGACTTACCAATGATCATACATTTACATAAGTTTTAATCATTGTTAAGAAACATTGAGCATTATTCGATAGAATGTTTTATTTAAATATCTTAGAAGTGGACATCGGCTACTCAAGCTCAGGTAGATGAAGATTCCAGCGAGCGCAGACACAAAGAATCCATCTACCTGAATTTGAAACGGGACATCGGCAGAGAAACGACCATGTTCTCGTGTGACATCAACGATGATGTCATGCTAGGTCCGACAGAGGATGCCACGTCATGATTAATTCGTCTGCCTGCCTGACTCTGTCTCACTATGTGTCCATTTGTCTGTCTAATCGTGTCCTGCTTCATATTATCTAGTCAATAATTTTAAGAACAATCTATTTTCATGGCGTTACCAAATTTTTTTACAACAATTCGGTGATGCGCGTGCTCATGTATTTCATTCATTCAATCATTCATTCTTATTCGTTTGTTCATTTATTTTTTAAAAATCTTCCGTTCGTGTGCTTAATGGGCGATTGTTGCTTTGAGAGGTTGAATTAGTTTGTGCGAGCCTGCTTGTGTATGCGTAATTCGTTTGAATCATTCATTCATTTGAGCATCTAATTGCACCTATTTGTTAGGTTTAGCTATACAATACTCCGACACGAACGAGCCTATTTGTAGTCGTACCTACTTATTCGGTCGGTCAATTTTTTAGATGGTTTTTTAGAATTATAGTTGATTTGTTACATGAATTTAATGTAATTCTTTTGTTACTTCTCTTTCAATTAGTATGTTTCGTTTACAAAGTGTTATTCTTGCATAAAAACAGTCTAATATGTTAAAGATTTATTAAATGTGCGTCTTATTTAGTTTATAACGGAATAAATAGATATTTCAATGAAGATAAGTTACAAATTTATAGAACAAGCTCAAATGAGGTAATGAATTGTTCAATTGTTGTGCCATTCAATTTATTAGTCGTGGATGATGAGGTTGTGATTACTCAACTGAATATCGTACAATATTTTTATTGCTGTTAACAAACTTTGTAGCTGTTAAAACCACTCACACACGCACTTATATATACACATATAGTAAAGTATTATATTTATATATATATATATAGTGTATATACGGCTAGACAAAACTAAAGATTACGATTACCGCCAAGTAAGGACACTCAATTACAATCCTCTAACATTCCTTCGACTTAATTAATATTTGCAGTAGGTTTCGGAAAATGTATCTAATAATTGAATCGTTTATTAGTTAATTAAAATATCTTACCATGGCATAACACTGATGTACGTTATTGATGGCTGTCATATAAAGCTCCATAAATTATTGCAAACTTACAACACATCAACATTACCTTCTCACGTTCTGTGATCACGGTCAACAAACATTCTCAGCTCAGAGCGACGCAAAAAAATTATTTTTGTATCTTGTTGACAGAAAACAAGGCGTACGAGATCGTCTGTATTAGATGGCCGAGCGAGCGAGTGAGCGGTGACAAGACAACGACGAATAAAATCGTTTCTCGTGCAGGAACCATCTCCAACCCCGGCCGTTAAATTATGATAAGAAAGTTTAAAGCTTCATCTGTATCAAAAATGTATTGCAAGTCTATATTTTAATTTTCATTAAACAAATTTGTCTGCCATTAATTTACTCATTCATTTATCCAGTTATCCATCTATCCTTCCATGGCTTTATTGAACTATTAATACATTGATACCTAATTTTCAAGCAACAAAAAAAAGACTATCACATATTTACCAAACCAACCGTCTTCTCACGAATCATAATGATGATGATGGCGATAATAAAAATATTTTCTGTTAATCATTATCAACATCTTCTTCTTCCTCATTGACATCATAATCATCACCGTCGAGATCATAACCACCATAAGAATCGTTATCGTCGTCGTCTTCGTCCTCATTACCAGCATTACATGAATTCTCATTTTCAGGTTCTTCGTTCTTATCGGCACCATCATCATCATCATTATCGCACGTCATGTAAGCAAGAACAGTGTCAACATCATCATGGCCACCACCAACATTAACAAAACCACCACCATCATCATTATCATCATCAACAGGTTCCCCCTTCGACAAGTCATCAACGGTGATATCGCCCACGATATATTTGGGAAGGATGATCTTGTGAACGTTCCTGTAATGCAGTTTCAAATCATTTCTTGCTTTGTAAGTTTTCTTGCAGAGAAGGCACTTCTGTGAGCGCTCGTTGGAATGTTTCAGCTGGTGTATCTTCAAGTGGGCCGCCTGCCTGAACCTCGAATCACAAATCTTACAGGCGTGCGGTTTCTGGCCGTCGTGTGTGCGCTGATGATACTTAAATGACGTTGATGTCAAGAAGCTGTGAGTTTGTTGATGATAAAATGGAAATAATTATTTATGTTTTTATGAACTAGTTAATATTTAATAATTATTATCATCAATGTCACCAGCATCATTCAATCAATCAATCAATCCATCAATCAATCAATCACTTGATAGTCCTGTCGACCAACTAATAAAAAAGAAATGAAGATAGTGACCTCTTGCAACAGACGCCGCAGACATGTTTGGTGACAGCGTCCGTCAGCTCACAGCTGTGGGCTCGCATGGAGCACTGGTTTGTGAACTGGATGTCGCATAACTTGCACTCGCTAGCCTCTGCAGATTATTATACCATTTATTAATATTTAAGTAACATTTCATCAAATTCCCTTTTTGTTATTCCATGCTAATAACCCAAGTGGTTAAAACTGAAAAAAAAAAATGCTAATAATGTGAATACAATCACCAAATTTTTTTCAGTACGTTTTAAAACGTATATACATATAGTAAATATACTAAGAAAACAATTACATTGACTGATTTTATGTGTTTTTTAAAGTATTAACAAACAAACAAACAGATAAAAACACATATACACATATACAAACACAAACACGCATACAATCATACCATAAAGAAAATCTTTCAAATGTTTGTTGTAACTTTCAAGAGAATAATATATGTCTGGACAATTGGAACAGTGCAACAATTCAATACCCTGCGAAAATTGATGTTGCAGTCGATGTCGTTTTCATGTCGTTGTTCATGAATAAATCAACTGAAATTTGAATAAACAATCAATTGTCACCGAAACCATCAGCAATTACTACAACACATCAACAGCTACACATCAACAACTGAAACATCAACACGCACGCATCAACAAGGCAGCAGCTCACATGGACTTCTTTATAATGATCAACCATCATTCTGTTCGACTTCAATGAGTTGTTGACCTTGAACTTGCAGAAGTGGCACTTGGCAAGCGAGCGCCTGCCCGTCTGGCAGGAGTTTCGATGTTGATGCAGCGTGTTCACCTGGCCAAACGACTGCCCACACAAGTCACATAAATAATTTCTTTCCTTGTAGTGTACGACCTGCCCGCGTTGGTATTCACAATTTATTATTAATTTTAATTTATACATCATGGGCTTTGACAGCAACATTCCTAACGACAGGAAGAGGAAACAAAAGATCATCAGTAATAAAATTTACAGCAATAATAAAATTTTAAAGCATCATCATCATTTTTTGATGTTACATTACAAAATCTATTGAATTAAGTAGATGAAAAATAAAAAAAGAAACAGCAATGAATGAAAGAAAAGGAGGAGCATGAAGGGAAGGGAATGAGTAAAAACATTAAAGAAATGAATGAATGAATGAATAAATGAATGACGTGAAATAAAGAGACAGACCCTGATGTGTCGGTGCCTATTACCTCTTTCATTGAAGAGTTTGTGGCAGTGAGGACACATGTACTTCCTCTTCTCGCAATGCGTCTTTCCCAAGTGCAGTTGCAACTTTTGCAAGGACAAGAGCATTTTGCCACACACCTGGCACATAAAACTTGAACTATTATCATCATTTATTTCGTTAGTTAAACCTGATGATGTTGTTGTCAATGATGTGGCTTCTGAAGACGTTGATGTAGTTGCAGTTGGTTCCATTATCGATTGCATGTTGACAGACCTATTAGTTGCATCATTTATTGTAAACGTTTGTGAACTGTGAGCCATTGAACCAGCAGATGTTTCATCGACAGAAAATGATGACAATGACGCTTTGTTATTTGTCTGCACAATATTAACTGTATTATGGGAAGTCATCTTAGAGCAAGAAAGTAGAGCTCCTAACAAACTCTTTTTATTTTTCTTCCTTCCTTTAATGCTGGCCTCTTCGACGTCATCATCGTCATTGTGGTTATTCTTGTAGTTGCTGTTGAATTTGTTTGTTAACTTGTTGGCACCAACATCAATGTCAGTTGGGCTGTGGTTTAGCATTTTCCTCTTTCTACTGTTATCGCCAGCCAAGTTGTTTTTATTGTCACAGATATCATTGCAGTTGTTCTCCTTCATCCTCTTATTACTTGATGCTTTGATGTCAGGTACCTGATTCCTGACATTGAATATCTGATGCGAGAGCTCATCACCACCTTCACTTGCATCATTTAACATCTCAGGAATTAAAATCAGATCCTCATCGCATCCATCATCATCAATGACAACATCATTTAAAGCAGCAACCTCACTACCATCATTTTCCCTATCGTCATCATCGCCATTGTTCTTTTTTTTATTTTCTTTCTTACTTATGGTGGCCAATTTAGGATCTATAGCAGTCACATAACTTGCGACTGACGAAGCTGCAGTTGTTGCACTAACAGCTTTAACATCAACCATGTCAACAATATTATTACTAACATTGCCATTACAAATATCATTATTAATGCCTTTGTTTTTAATAGTAACAGTTTTCTGATGCTTATCGTCGACATCAACCTCCTCATCCTCTTCTTCCTCTCCTTCGTCACCACCGCCACCATCTTGAAATAAGGTACCGTACAAATTTGTATAATCTCTCTTCATGTCAGAAGGCAATTGCACATTCATCAACTTTTGCCTGAGTATTGAAAAAATCTCATCAACATCTTCACTAATTCTGCTAAATTTCAGCAGTTGGTCGTCGTCGGCTCTCTCACTTTCTTCAAAATGTTCCTCAATAACTTGCTCCACATTATGCTGCTCAAGGAACTCATCGAATGCATTCACAAAGTTCGCATCAAAATTGTGTAGCAGCATATTTTGCATGATGTTTCTTACGATGGCCTCCATGTTGTCAACAGTCAGCTCTGAGGCTGCTGCTGCTGATGATGTTGCTGTTGGCCTGCAAATGTTTGGGGGATGAATTTATAACATTTACATGTACTTGCAAAAAGAACAAACTAACAACTATCTAATGCAATAATAAATATAGCACTTAAACATCAATGAAACACAAGCAACAACAGACAAACTTGTTTCTGAAATGATCTCTAAAATATCTCTTGAGACCCATAGCTTCCAATGACTTTTGCACATCATCGCTGTTGATGTACCTGTAAGATTTTGTAAACATTTCTGCAGTTTGCGGTTTGAAGTGGTGTCGATAAATGATGTCCAACATTAGTTCTACAGCTCTTGCATTCAGTTCGTTCACATTTATTTTGTAGAGAGGATGGTGGATGTTTCGAGCTTCGTCATAAACTATTTGTGGCTTGCTTAATTCCAGTTTCTCCTACAATAATGAATGTTGAATCGTAAAAAATAAAATTTAGCTAGATTCTTGAATTAGAGAAGAGCAATAATGAAAATATGCTTTAGAAAGTAGCAGTAGTAACCTGGATGTAGTCACTGCACGATGCAAGTAAGAAGCTGTGGGCTCTGTACTGTTTGTCGTGGCATGTCAACAAAACATCAAACAACACGTTTGTGTCATAAAATCTGCCTGAACAACATTCAAGTCATTTATCAGCTCACAATTATTACATGTATGCTGAGTTGGCCTAATATAAATATGTTAATTACCATTTGGCTTATTAGAATATGTATCAAATATCATTAATCCTAATTAATTTTAGATACGGAAGAACGTAACCTAGGTGTTTTCATTACCAAAGATTGTAAGCCATCAAGACAGTATCTAAAAGTTACTAAAAGAGCAAACCAAATGCTAGGGATTATTAAAAGAACGATTTTGAGCATGGAACAAACTGTAATAAAAAGGTTATACAAACCCTAATTACACTTAGATTACTCTGCCCAGTTGTGGTGTCGCTATCTCGAAAAAAGCAAAACATTTCTCAAGAAGGTTCAAAGAAGGGCTACAAAGATGATCACAAGTTTACGATACCCGCAATAAGAAGATTAACTAAATGAAAGCGGTCTAACAACCATGGAAGGAAACACGAAGAACAAGAAAAGAGTCTAACCAAACTCATTACAGACAATTATTGACTACAACGTTTTTTAAATGTCCCATAACAAATCTACAAGTGGTCATAAACTGAAACTACTCAAAGAAAGAACAGGATCGGCCATAGATAAATTAAAATAGTTTAAATGATTCAAATAAAATATCTTAATTAAACTGTATCAAACGAATTATTGTGATTCAGGAGAACGACAAACTGACCAGTTGTATCATTGAGGGTTTGCATGAAAATGGTGTTGGCTTTTCTCACTGTGGACTCTGTATATTGCTAACAATGAACAAACATCACAAGAATTTTATTACATTTATTTACTCATGCATTGTGAACATTTTAATAATTATTAAAACCATTTCTAAAACAATGAATCATTTAATAATAATTAATTGAATAATAAATTTACAAAAAATAAATTACAAATGATAATTACAGATGGTGGTGATCTTTTATTATTGACATAACATTCAGCAGAGGCTGTCAAAACGCCCGTGTTACTAGACTTATTTTTTTTACTCATTAATTCAAATTTTTGTAAAGTTTTGTAGGTCATATTATATAGATCATTATTAATATCTGACAGTGTTCTTGATTTAGATTTTTTAGTTTTAGTCTTCAGCAGGTTAGAGGTGCTTTCTTTGGTGAATTTTAATAATTTAACTTCTTTAGGAGGTGGTGTAATGGCTCTGTTTAGTGTTGTTTTACCTTTTGATTGAACTTTTTCTGTGAGACTAGATTCCTTTTCAAAAACAAAAGAAATTTTAGTTTATGCTTAAATTTATTTATCCTGATCAATATAATTTTTCATTCATTTTATCAACAATATTAAATAACCAAAATATATTGAAAACGTTATAAAAAATGTAACATGTTAATTTGCCATTACTTTTTGTTCATAAACGTCAGTTGCAAGATCTAATTCATTTCTATCTATCACAGAAACTGAGATCTATATTTTGAAAATTCATTTTTGAATTAATAAAAATGTATGATTATTCAAACCAAAATTAAAAATATTATCAGTAGTAAATAAAATTTAATAAATGATTAATGATGTCAGCATGAGAGGTGCTGATTTTAAATGAAAAAATTATAATTAAATAATGATGTATCTTATATTATATAATATTGGAATGGCTAAATGACACATTGATCATGATTATGATGGTATTGACTGGCTGGCTGAAGGGTGCATACACTGTTTTTTGGTTTGGATTTCGCTTTCTCTTTCTGTTATCAGTTATAGTTATTTATTGAGTTACATTTATATATTTATATAACATGGTGTACGGACATTTGGTTCCTAAGATGTCTGGCCTTTGTTTATTTGAAATTGAATGTTTGGTACCTTTCAATATAGTTTTAGTTGGATGTTTTTGTGTTCAAATTTAGTTGGACAATTGGATAGCCATTGCCCTTCTTTTTATATTATAATAATTGAATAAGCAATAGCGACAACACTTACATCACTATTTCCATCATCACCATCGTCATTCGAGGAGGCCAGATCTTCGTAGTCCTCCATCATTTAATTTAGTTAAGAGAGGTTGATCCTTGCAAATCATAAGCTTACTAATAATAGATAGCCATTTATTTCACGTACAACAATGCGGCAAAAAATAAATTGAAAGAGTCAAGATCGATATTTAAAAAATTGTGCTTCAAAATTCAAAGGTGCCTGTTAAAACCAATGTAATTTCCTGTATAGAATTTAAAAAAATATATAAATTGTCTTTCGTGTTATAAGAAGAACTTAAGTGTGATGAAAAAGGTGATATGCCGATAAATAAATATTTATTCTAGTTATATGTATCAAACAGTATTTCATAAAATTACAAAGTAGTATCATAAAATGAATAAAGATACATTTTTCAAAATTTAAAAAAATTTTTAATTTGATTTCATTGCGATAACGATAATGATGATTGTGACCTGACCAATTAAAAAACATCAAATAAAATTTATTAAATAGGATGGGTAATTCGTTGCGAAATCGTTGAAGGAAATGACGTCATGTTAACAGTAGTTATTCAACTGCATGGTAGTTAATCAGCCTGTATAAATGTTATATTCAATTTCTATCAAATAAATTTGACCAAATATCATACTCAGGCAAAGTATATATATATAAATGTATTATAACTGCATATATATATATATATATATATATATATATATATATATATATATTATAACTGCATATATATATAAATGTATTATAACTGCATATATATATATATATATATATATATATGCAGTTATAATACATTTATAATGTTGTATTTACACATTCAAATTGTACAATGTACAATTGTGTTATGGTGTAGTCTCAAATTATTTTGAATTCTCTCAGAAAAATTTAAACTTTTTACAATATACTGCTTACTTTTATAAACAATTTTTAAAAAAATTTCATTTTGATTTTATCGTGATATGATTTTTGTGACCTGACTGATTAAAAAGCATCAAAGAAATTTTTAAATAAGGATGGAGAATTAGCGCTTATAAATCTACGCATATTAGCTCACCTTGGCTTGGCTCGGCTTGGCTTGGAATCGGATGTTGAGCAAGGTGTGGCCTCAAACTATTTTGAATTCTCCCACATATATAGCACTGATTACAGTTGCTTTTATAGACTGTATAATAAAGTAGTACATACATTAAATAAGTTTTTTACTGATGTGAATGATTGAAATGATAAAATGTATGGTTGAAACGAGTATAAATAGGAGCTGAGACAACATGAAAATCAGATCAGGCATTCTGCCTCGCTTGAAGCAGTCTGTCTGATCTCATTTATTTTATTTTTATAATTTTTTTTATTTTATTACG